ACCCATCCCCATTCTCTTTTCTTCCCTACTGATTGATAATCTCCTTGGGCTCAAAGGGCCGAGGTCAGGTGCCACGGGATGGTCAGGGGTGCTTTAAGAGAGTAGAACTGGGCTCTGCCGGAGACGAAGTCCAGGGGTGAAGGTGGTGGTGGCACTGAAAGACCTGCCTTCGGGGCCTTCCGTGTCCCTCTTCTCTGTCCATCCTCGTCCTGGTCTCCAGATTCAAGCTTGAGAGGAGGGTCTGGGAGTTGTCCGTGAGCAGAGGGTGGGAGGCCTCAGATGCCGCAGGCAACTGCTCCCTTACTCGTTCCCCAAGCACGCACACATGCATGCACAGCCCTGTTGGGGTGCTGGGTTCGGCAGGACAAGCTGTATTCTAGTGGGAAGGCAGCATGCGTGATGTAAATCAGTATGTAGAAGGTGAGGCGAACTGTCGAAAGCAGCAGGTTGTAAGGGGGGGTGCAAGGTCCTACAACTGCAGCTTTGGTTGCAATTTTTTAAAAATATTTCTATTTTTTTTATTAGGGTATCATTGATATACACTTTTATGAAGGTTTCACAAGAAAAACAATGTGGTTACTACATTCACTCTTAATATCGAGTCCCTCCTGACCACCATGCCCCGTTGTAGTCCCTGTCCATCAGTGTCGTAAGATGCCACAGAGTCCCTACTTGTCTTCTCTGTGCTCCACTGTCTTCCCCGTGATTTCGGCTGCAATTTTGAATCGGGTCGGGGTGTGCTCTCCTGGAGGGGGAGGGAGGGAGCTACCTGGGCGGTTGTAGTGCTGACTGTGACAGCCTCCTTCTGGGGGCACCAGCGGTATGCTAGGCATCTTAATGCACTACTAGGTGCATCCACAGCAGCAGTAGGGTCCCTGTTTTACAGCTAAGGACAGACTCAGGGAGATGAAATAACTTTCCAGAGGTCACCCAGCTAATAAGTGGCGGAGCTGGGATTCAAACTCACACCTGTGTGACCCCAGAGGGTTGTCCCACTGGCCTTGCCTGCTGTCCCTTGGCCCTGAGGAGCCACCCTGTCACCTGGGGAAGCTCCAGGGAGCCAGCAGATGCTGTTGCAATCGTGGACCTGGTGTGTGGGTTGGAGACACCTCCTGTGTTCCCAGCGAGGGAGTGGGGCTGGATCGTTCTGTATTCCGGACAGGGCCTCGCTCACACACTGCCGAGCGCGCCAGCTCAGAGGATGAGGATGAATCACGGCAGAGAGGGCCAGCTTAGTCAGCACCCCATGCTGGTGTCTGGGCGCTGTTAGAGATGTCCAGCCGTCCCTGCCCCCCTCCCTGACCTCCCGCTCGGGGCTGCCAAGCGCAGTGGTACAGGCTGTGCCTTGTGCAAGGACGCCTGGCTGAGGACTGAGTCGGAGTGAAATATGCTCTGCTTGCCAAGTTGTGTCTGGCGGGGCACTGTATCTGTCCAGAGGATTCTGCAGCCGCACCTTTTCTTGATGTGTGCCAAGGCCCTGGAGCAGGAGGCCGTTGGTCGGGAGCTCTAGAAGTTCACAGTTGGGCAATGAGGTCACCTTGCTGAAGGCCAGCTCCTGCCCATGGAGAGGACTTCTGCCTCCAGGGGGACAGGCCTGTGAGAGGTGGGAAGCGCTGGCCCCCTGGAGCTGGTCTGGCCCCTGACATCCCCGGAGCAGTGGCATCTCTGCAGAGCTGCTGCATCGGGCAGGGGTCTGGGCCCACCTCTGCCTTGTGCTGAGTACTTTGGGCAACTCACTTCCCTCTCTTGGCCTCACTTTCCTCATCTTTATGTGGATCAGCTGGCCTCAGCGGTCATTTGGGCAGGGACTGACATCTGTTCCTCACTCTGAGTGTTGGTTTTCTGAACTACATACAGGCTTTTCAGAGGCCAGTAATGATGGTGATGACAGCCAGTGTTTCTTGAGGGCCTCCTGTGGGCCACGCCTCTGTACCAAGTGAAGTGTGTGTGTGTGTGTGTGTGTGTGTGTGTGTGTTGCTTCTCACAGCAACCCCTGAGGTGGCACTGTTCTCATCCCAGTTTTCGCAGACAGAACTGGGGCCAGAGGTCAGTTGCCCAAGGTCACAGAGTTAGAAAGCATTGGCGCTTCGATTTGAACCCAAATGGTTTGAGGAGACCCTCAGGATCACTTGGTCTAGCCGCCTGCTTCCTGCTTCACACATGGGGAAACTGAGGCCCAGAGAGAGCAAGTGATGGAGCCACAGCCTCACCCAGCAGAGCAGGGACTAGAGCACGGGGTCCCTTGACCTGTCAGGGACGGCTGAGCGCCTCCCTGTGCCAGATGGAGGGTGGCCAGGTGGGCAGAGGAAGGCATGGGTGGGTGGCACTGCTGCTATGGTTTGCAGCCAGGGCTGCTTCCCCCCGTGGTTTGTGCGTGTGAGAGAGAGAATGCAAACACACGCCAGCCCACACAGCTCAGCCCGGAGGGGCCCATCATTTAAGTCAGTGTTGCTGGGCCGGGGAGGCAGGTGTGTGTGGTCTTCATTAACTGATGGGTTGGTGGGAGGCTTTCCCAGCATCCCCGAGCCCAGGCCCCCTGAGACCCGCTCTGCCCTTCTTGGATGTGTTAACTGGGACACCTCAGAGCTCCTCGCTAAGCCTCAATTTCCTCATTCTCAAATGGGATTATAAAACATGCCTCTTGGCATTTGAAGGGGCCACATGGTCCCGGGGGTGTAGTGAGTGATTAATAAAGGAAAGGTGTCATCAGTATGATTTGTTGGGAGGAGACTTTGTAAGCGGTTAGGAGTGTGGGCTCTAGAGCCATCCTGCCTGGACTGTAAGCCCAATTCTGCTTTCTAGCATCGATCTTGGCTAAGTGACTTCACTTCTTGGAGCCTCAGTGCCCCCACCCCCAGAACAGTTGTAATGTGTCCTACCTGACAGGTTGTTCCCAAGGACTAAATGAGATGATGCATTATAAAGCTTTTAGCCTACTTCTGGCACATAGTAGGTGCTCAAGAATCAAATAATAGGTAATGTTGATTGAGTACTTGCTTAATGCCAGACATTACTAGAGTGTTTGAATTGCTATTACTCCTTTATTAATGTTTCATTTGGATTAGCACGTCTGTGTACTGCTTCCCAAGCAGTCAGCCCGCTGGTCAGACCCACTGCCTCACATCGTTACAGGGAAAGGTGAGGCCTCCAGGGTCACACCACTGGCTTTTCAGTGCCCTGTGGGGTTTTGTCCAGCTAAGTCTCCCAGAGAGCCACCCCTCCTCTCCCCATTACTCTCCACATTCAGCAGCTCCTCAGAGCTTCAAGCTTCGTGAATGGCTTGGTTAAGCGCTCAGCCATTAAACGTTCTTCTCTTATAATTTCAATCCAATTCCTATAACTCTATTGGCAAGACGGGGTATATTAGAGCTGCCAAATTTAATATATCAAGTCCATGTGTTTGGGATGCAATTTCTCAGCAACAGTGGGAGAAGAGAGGTTTTATACGTTTGCATTTTGAATGACTGTCTGTTCCTGATCCCACTGCAGCCCTTGACTTAATGGCTGTTGTCCCTGCCTCAGGAGTGGCTCTCTCCAGTGACCTGCCTGGCTGCTTGGACTGTCCAGGGGCCTTGTTTGTCTCTGTCTCTCTCCCCATTCTCATCCTCCCATGGTGCATTCCTCCATCCGTCCACCCTGTGGTCAGGTCCCAGATTTCTTTATTTGCTAGATCCTGCATTCCTCCATCCGTCCACCCTGTGGTCAGGTCCCAGATTTATCTTTATTTGCTAGATCCTGGGAGCCTGGGGCTTTTGCTGCTAGCTCCTACCTTGTGACCTTGGGGAAGTCACTTTCCTTCCTCCTCCAGGCCTTATGCACCTGATCTGGGAATCAAAGGGTCAAACTATAGAACATAAAGGGTGAGGGGTTGGTCTGGGCTCGGCCTTTGCAGATCCTATTTGATGGCCCTAAATGGACCCATTCGTCCTCTGGTCTTGTGTCACCAAACTGGGAGACCCAAGGGCTGGTCATGAGAGACATAGATCTGCCCATCTATAGCTGCAGATCCCCTGGGTCAGGGGTGGCAGCTGCGATCACCGGGGTTTTAAGGGTTTTAACACCCTGAAACATTCTCATTTCCCTCTGTGATTGGCTGGGGACCTGCCGCCTGAGAGTTTAGCTAATCTCTTTGGGAAGCTGTTTGCATTTCTGCTGAGCCCTCTGGCCCCTCCAAGCACTGAGCTGGCTGTGGAAGAGAGGACATAGGCAGTAGGATTTTAGGACACCTGGCTTTGCCTTCTGCCTCCCAGCTGTGTAACTCACGTGGGCAAATCACCTCCTTCCAAACCTCCCTTGTCCCACAAGGAAAAGGAGAATTCATTCATTTATTCAACAAGTATTTGGTTGCCTGTTCTGCATCTTGTACCACTTTGGGTGCTGGGGCTTTGATAATAAACAAAACGAAAGTATCCCAGCCCACATGGATCTATATTTCTGTTGGGGAGAAAGATGATAAACATAACAAGTAACTTGATACTTCAAAGGTGATTAAAATTAAGTCAGGAAATGGGGAAAGTAAGTGGAGGGTTCTGGTTTTAAATAACGTGGCCACAGGAGATTATTGCAAAGGTAGTATTCGAGCAAAGATGGAAGGAGTCAAGTGAGCAGGCGTGGCAGGCTTCTGGCAGAGGGGACAGCAGGGAGGTGCTGGGGGTAAGGTGGCGCTTCTGCAGCCTGGCTATGTGTGACGATTCCTGGGGGAGCTGTAAAGACCTGATGCCCAGGTCTCACCCTCTACAGTTCTGCTTTAACTGTCGTGGGTAGAAGCTGGGCATCACAGTTCAAGGACCCCCCCTGGAAGGAGGCCTCTCAGGCCGTAATCATCGGCCCATGTAGCTCCTCATGGGGAGCCCTGGGGTTGAAGTGAGGTGGTGCACATGCGCAGAGCCGTCCTACGCAGCAGGCACCTGGCCCCTGGGGAGCACGCAGTATGGGCCATGTGCGGTGGTGGCATGGGGCATGGCCTTCACACTCTGACAGAGTGCTTTGTGGCTTCCCAGGCAGTGGTGGCACGTGGCAGAGGTGGCCATGGGGAAGCGCTACTTCTGTGATTACTGTGACCGGTCCTTCCAGGACAACCTCCACAACCGCAAGAAGCACCTGAATGGGCTGCAGCACCTCAAGGCCAAGAAGGTCTGGTATGACATGTTCCGAGGTGGGTGCTGGCTGGCTCCATGGCTGAGCTGATGGAGCCCTGCTCTCCGGTCTTTTTTTTTTTTTTCCCCCGGTCTTTCTTATTTCAGACAAGGAAGCACCATGGCCAGCAGCTGTCCTGGTCTGGGCTCTCAAGGAGTAAAAGAAAGAAGGCCTGATCCACTGGCCTCCAGGGGCAGATAGCCCTCCAGAGGGCAGGCTGGAACGTGAGCTGCTTTCCCCAGCAGTCTTACCCGAGAGCTCTATTCTTTCAGGCTCTGGGGATGCTGGGGCCAGAAAGAAGGCCTCTTCAAGGAGGTGATGTTTGTACAACAGCTAAAAGACGGGGAAAAGCCAGCCACACATTTTGGGCAGAGAGCATGCAGAAGCAGGCAGCCCAGAGCAAATCTCCAGGTGCTCTTTGTGCAGGAGAGAGGGTGTAGCAGGACACAGTGGGATGGGAGGAGGCTTGGGGCTGAAGCTGGTGACGGCAGGGCCAGATCGTGCAGGCCTGTGGAGGCCACGGTTAAGGGGGTGCACCGTCCTGAGGACAGAGGGCAGCCTTGGAAGGGCTTTAAGCAGTGGCCTATGTGCCCGAAGCTACATTTGACAGCGATGACTGTCTGCTGCATGAGCACTGGGTGCAGTAAATTGCTATTGAATGACTGGCTGACCAGGTGAATAACAGACGCCTGAGGGAGGGCTCTTTGAGGAAAGACTTTTTAGAGCAGGTGCCAGTGGAGCAAATGAGCTAAGGCCATAAGCACCTAGCCCAGGGCCTGACCCCTGGGGGGCACTCACTACAGGGGAGCATACCTCTATCATTAGACAGACACACTGAGGAATAGCGAAGGAGGTGCCGGGGAGGCCAGCCAGGAGCTGGGGCCAAAGGAGAGGAGTTTGGCAGGACAAGGGGGGTGGGCAGGAGCTCCTGGAGCTAGCCTGGGCAGGGCCAGTGCCTCACGAGTTGAAGAGAAGGATTCCAGGATGGGCCCAAAGCGGAAGGAAGGAGCTGAGTCCCACCTGCCTAGGAGGCAGGAGAAGGCAAGACAGACTTCCCTGGTCTGAGACTCAGAATTCAGAAGAAGGGAGTGAGCATTTATTGAGTGCCTGCTGCATGCCATTGTTTTCCCCAATTTGTCGTTTGCTTTTCTCGGCAAATCTCTAAGGCAGTAGATCTCACCCCTTTGAGCTAGGATCATCTAGAGACCTTGAAGTAAAAATGCTGATCACCTGACCACATCCCCAGAGGCAGGTTTGGGGTGGCACCTAGGTGTGGTATTTTCAGAGCTTTCCCAGGTTCTCCCCATTTGATGAGGGAGCTGAGGGCTCAGAGGCTTGGGTGAGGGAGGGTGGCCAGGCCAGGCCTGGCTGTGTTTGTGAGGGGCTAGGAGTCGGGGCAGAGGGGAATTCAGTGGCAGAGGGGTCTCCTAGGTACATGGGAGGCCTCTGGCCCTGTTGTCAGATCCAGTGGGGATTGTGACCTGGCACAGAGCTGAGCCTCAAGGAGTCACCTCCATCTGAGAACATCTGGGTCCTTGGGTCCAAGGATGATTGGCAGAGGCTGTTGTGTTACTCCCAGAGAAGATCAAACAGCAGGTGCCCTGAGGCCCTCCACAGGGCTCCTGCATTCCTAGTGCCCTCCCACATCTGCAGCCACATTCCATTCTTAGGACAGCTCTTCAAGGGAGGCTGGGCAGGCCAGGGTCCCCACTTAGAGGTGGTGACTTCAAAATCCAGAGTGGTGAATTATTCACCTGGGGTCTTCAAACTGGCATCAGAGCTCTTACCACTTCTCAAGAAGCTTCCCCAAGCAACTGCACAGCCCAGACTCTGGGGAAGCACATGGTACCCCAGCCTGGGCTGGGCCTCAACACCCACTTGCTCCCAGCTTCATGGCCTTGGATAAGCCCTCAGAGGGGCTGACCGTGCACCTGCCATGCAGGACAAGCCTGGGCCCTGGAGCTAGGCTGCCTGGGTCAACCACTCACAGTGTGGCCCTAATTTTGTCATGTATAAAATAGCCGTAACAATGGTACCCACCTCTCAGGGATGTGATGGGCTCAAGTAACCTCCTGATGACCATATGGCACATAAGATTTCACTAAGTAGTAACTATGCCCACAGGCCCACAAAAGGTTTGACCTCAGGCCATTTGTCTCATGGGCTCATTCATTCAGTCAGCACTTGGTAAGCCCTTAGCTTGTCTTTGGATGTTAGACAGGCTCCAAAGTCTTATAGGTGAATAAAACAGGGCCCCTCTCCTAAGCAACCCTGCTCTCAGTTACAGCAGTGTGTTCTGGATGCACACCTTGTCCTGCCCAGGCCTCCGTGCCCTGCCAACCCCTCCCTCCAAGCTCTGGCCACATCACCACTGCAGGTACTGTCCTGTCGGTGAGCATGCCCTTCCTGCTGTACTGCCCAGCCCCTCAGCCAGGGCAGGTCATTTGGCTGCATGTTTACCCCATTTATATCCACATGGCTTAGTGTGACTATTGGACTGGAAGGAAGAACCAGGTCTGACTTGTTCTCCACTAAATCCTCGTCCTGGCGTGGTGCCTGGCACACAGGATGTGCTCAGTAAATGTTTGTTAGATGAATGTCTAAATGAATGAGCAAACAAGCACAGGGCACCAGGGCAGCTGTTAATACTGGGCGATGAAGTGAGAAGGACCTGCGGGGTCAGATCCCGAGAAGCCCTGAACGCCAGGTGGAGCGCACCTTTTTTGTGCATGGGCCTAGGCCAGGGGTTCTCAACCCTAGGTGCACCTCAGAGTCACTGAGTAGCTTTTGACAGTTCTCATGCCCCTGCAGATGAATTAAAGAGGAACCCGAGAAGGATGCACTTGCCTCTGTATAGTTTAAAAGCCACCCAGTGATTTTGCCAGGTGGCTGGGGTTGAGAACCACCAGCCAGGTGCTAGGCAGCCTGCAACTCTTCTCCCACACTGAGTTACCCAGCCAGGTCCCCTCGCCTAGGACTCATGCTCAACCCCCTTTCAGTTCAGCTGTCCTGCCTGCAGGGGGCCCCTGCACAGTGCCCACATGCCCTGGGAAGGTCTGAGTGTGCCACGCCCAGTGCTGACAGGCACCCCCCACCCTGCTGGCGCGCCCCCCTGCTCCACCAGGCTACCCTTAGAGTGAGTCCTCTCACAACCACCTCCTGACCCCAGCAGCCTTTCCCTGCCCCCAGCCACCAGTTTCCCTGCCCTGGGGAGGGTGGAGCCCCTTCAGGGTCAGCCACTCACCCAGCCACCAGGAGATCGGCAGCGGCTTTAGATTCATACACGAGGGTTCAAACCTGCCATTTCCTGACTGTGTGCCCTTCCCCCTGTCTTTTCCCCTGAACCCCAGTTTCCCATCCTGCCAAATGGGGATTTTATGTGGATTTGTAGGAAGGAAATAAAAGAAGAATGGCTATAATTTGTTGAGCATCTGCTACAGAGCTTCTCGGCCCTGGCTGCACATTAGAGTCACCTGGGGAACTCGATGAGGAGGCTGCTCCTAACCCCGTTTTTCTAGCAATTCTAATGTGCCATCAGGGTTGGGAACTGCTGGCCTCCTCAGCCAGGTGCTCTCTCTTTGTTATCTTACTCCTTTTCACAGCAGCTCTACCAAGTGAGAATTTTCCTCCCATTTTATATATGGGGAAACCGAGACTTGGAGAGATTAGCGGCTTGCCTGCGGCCGTCTGACCTGGAATCCAAAGCCCATGGGGTGCTTAGAGCTCCCCAGCAGCCTCCAGAAAACCTGGTGGGCAAGTGGGGAAAGTGCCCAGGCCTGGCCTGGCCTCTCCTCCAGGGTGACATCAGGTCGCCTCCCTCGCATGTCTTACTAATTTTGACCAATTCCTTGCCCATTGAGAAGCACACAAAATTTAAATCAGAAATATGTGATGACAATAAAGGTGGGGAAAACCCAGGTTAAGGTTTGTATCCAGACAGATGGCAGGGAGTTCTGCTCAGGCCAGGGCTGGCCCTGCCCTGAGAGCCCCCAGCCGGCGTGAGGAGGGAACGGAGAGCCGTGGGCCACCGCCTTGGCCTATGCGGTGATGCCTGTGCCCTGGGCCTTACCGGTGGGCACCAGGAAATTTTTTAGCTTTCTATTTTGAAATAATTCTAGATTCACTGGAAGTGGCAAAGGCAATACAGAGAAATCTTGTGGTCCCAGGATTAAATAAGGAAAAAACAAGTTCCCAGGTGCCTCCACTGTGCAGTCAAAGCCAAGAACCTCTGACCTATAACCTGGTTCTTTCCTGTGCCTGGGTTTGGGTGGGGTGGGAGGGGGTGAGGTCACTTGAAGCTTGGATCCCTCCACCCAGGCCCCCTACCCGTGGCGGTCCCCTCTTCAACTCCTCTATGGGTGGGTAACTTTCCTTTCTGATCTTAGTGGCGGGTAGATGTGTGCAGTTAAAGTCTGAACCCAGCCTCTCCTCCTGCAGATGCAGCCGCCGTCTTGCTGGATGAACAGAACAAGCGGCCCTGCAGGAAGTTTCTGTTGACAGGTAAAGTACTCCGTGCAGTTCAGGTCCCTGCCAGAGACCAGCACGCCCAGTGTGCCCTGCTTGGCCCTCTGCAGAGCCTCCCCAGCCCTGGCCGCCATCCTGAGCCTGCTCTGTGGCCTTGGCACATCAGCCCGCTGGGCAGCTGGAGCCTTCCCAGGGTTTGTGCCCTAGGACTCCCAGGACTGATCCTTAGCTCTTCAGACCTGGAATGGGATTTTAGCAGCCCACCCAGAACAGGCAAGTGCCAGATTGCAGGTAAACCTGGGAGACGCTGATGGGGGGAATAGACTGGCTGATTAAATTAGCCTGGGAGCCCGGCCTTGCTCTGCCCTCCCTCCCAGCTGGCAGGGCTAGAAGCACTAGCAGGTCTGACGGTGTCAAGAAGGTTCAGAATTAGAACCAACAATGCTAGGTATTGATTTGACTGCTTAATATCCAGCCAATAAAGACACATATAGGTCAAAGAGATAAAAACCTCAGTAAGTGAAGGATCCAAAAAGATAGGTGAAAATAATGGTGGAAAAATAAGGCAAAGCCAGGGGAATGAGTAGTTTCCTCCATAAGGTCCTATATACTCTTTAAGGGTTTGGCCCTGAGTTTCCTAGCAGCCAAGGCAAAGAGGAAAACCCCAATGATTAACATGGTGTCCCCTGCTGGGTTTAAAGGGAGCTCAGCACTGGGGAGAGGCTCTGCTCTTGGCCTAGGGAAGCTGGGTGGATGGCCCATCAGGAGACAGGGCTGCCCTGAGAGCGGCCACCAGGCCTGCAGATCAGGAGCCTCCCCCCACAGACCTCACCTCTATGTGAACATGCCACTGGTAGGTTATGCTGGCGTCAGCCCTGCAGTCGCCTGTTATTTTGAGAAACATTTTGGTCTCCCTGGTTGAGATTCAGAAAGCCACCCTGGGCTTTGGTACCTCATTGACAAAGCTACCATTAAAGCCTTTCTGGGGAGCAGTCCACTGCTTGGGACAATGGACACAAGGTACCAGGCAGGTACCAGTGGAGGGCCTGTGCAGTGGCCTGGAGTGGAGAGGGGAAACGTGACCTTTCCAGGGACCCCCCTGTTACTTGTTGAGGCTGGGGAACGGGCTGGGGGACCGGTGACAGGGAACAAGCCTGCAGAGGCTTGTGCCGCCCAGTCACGAAAGCCTGCAGTGGGATTTCATCCCAGCCTGGGAAGGGCTGTGAGCAGGGCATGATGGACCAGACAGGTCACTCAGGTGGGGCGGGGCCAGAGAGAGTCTGGGCTTTCCCTCCGGTGGGGCTGCTCCTCTTGAGGCTATGAAGCCCCGCCCCTAAAGTCCCAGCAGCCCCTCCCCCAGGAGTCCCCGCCGGTCGCGGGGAGACCCCATCCCCAGTGTGTGTGACAGCCTTTCCGTTACAGGCCAGTGTGACTTTGGCTCCAACTGCAGATTTTCCCACATGTCGGAGCGAGACCTCCAGGAGCTGAGTGTCCAGGTGGAGGGTACGTGTTGGCAGGTGCCCCGCGCTGGGCAGAGGGAGGCTGCTGGGGGGCTGCGGGATCTGAGGCTGGAGAGGCTGGCTCCCCACCTCCCCCAATTTTGTGGCCGCCGCGGATGATGGGATGGGTGTCAGCAGCTGCCTCCAAGCTGCCCTGGGCACGAAGCAGGAGCAGAGGAGCCCCCATCCTTGTCCCCTGCTGGGTTTGAAGGGACCTGGGGGGCTTCCTGCCCAGGAACCTCAAGGATGTGCCCCCGCTCCCTGGGCCCTGCTGCCGGCCCAGCATCCAGTCGTGCTTGCCTGCCCTGTGGCCATCAGGCAGCACGTATCACGCCCCTCTGGGACCTGGCAGGCCGCTGAGGCCCTGGGGGCAAGGGGATGAAGAGAGGACCTGCCTGCCCTCGGGAGTCCCAGGCCTGCTGATTCCAAGGAGCAAGTTCAGCTTCCCTTGGAAACTGCGCGTCTGCCTCTGGGAGGCTCACGTTTTACTTCTCCAGTTAGAGGAAAGGAAGTTCCCACTTAGAAGGTCTTTCTCAGTCTTCTCACCTAGCCCCTCACTGAACAGATGGAGAAACTGAAGCCAGCACTTGGGCAGCACACTGAGCCCTGGCAGGTTAGAGGTTGACTCCTGTGTCCCTGTCTTCAAGGCGCTGCTGCTCATTTTTCCCTCTGTCCAGGTGGCCTCTGGAGTGGCCTCTGCCCTCCTGATGGGCCTCACTCCCCTCTGATGAGCCAGACTTCCGGGAATGTCCTGCCCTAGGGAGCTGGTGGCAGTGTGGCCACAGCCCTGGCACAAACACTGCTTTTCCAGGACCTTTCACAGGGTGGACATGAGGCCCCATGGGCCCAGCCAGTGGCAATGGTGGCATCTCTAGCTCTTCACTGTTGTTGGCTCCTGTAAACAGCTGGTCCATGGCAGGGAGAGCATAGCCTGGGGGCCTGGGGACACAGGGAAGGGAGAGGCCCGAGGGTACTAGGAGCAGAGGCATGTCCCCAGCTGTCAACCTGGACAGTCCTGGCTCTGCCACATCCCCTGTGAGGTTGGCACATGGCTTAGCCTCTTGGAGGCCATGTCCAACCCATGGAACATGACCACTTGTGAAGATGGAGTGGGATGCATGCACATGTGCCTGGGGCCCCCAAGTGTGATTGTTTTTCTCTGCAAAGGTTTTTATAGGACACTGTATGAGAAGAAAAATCAGGGTCAGAGACCTGGCACATGGCAGGGCCAAGGTGCAAACCCTGTCTTGCCCCGTTCTGTGGTCCACATTGCCCCCCAATCCTAGGTTTGGACTCCAATGAGGACCAGGGTCTCTACATGCATTATCCTGTGTACAACTCCAAAAAGCTCTGGAGGCAGCCAGTGTTCTGTTTCTATTTGACAAGGAAACTGGGTGCGACCCAGAGGGGCAGGCCTGGGGAGGTGACAGCAGGCTCCTGGCCTCCCACCCTGTGCCCTGCCAACCCCAGCCCAGGGGGGTTCCGGCTGCTTTGTGGAAGGGAAGGGGTCGGGTGGGGTGAGTGTGCCCCTCATTTGGCTCTGTCCCCCTATCCCCACAGAGGAGAGGCGTGCCAGGGAGTGGCCACTAGACATCACCGAGCTCCCTGAAGGCCATCTGGAGGACTGGCTGGAAAAGAGAGCCAAGCGACGGAGCTCAGCCCCAAGCAGCAGGTACAGGCCCTGGGGATCCCCTCCTCCCATGCCCTCTGAGAGCAAGACCATAGCCAGCCTGCTGTGACCTGAAGCTGAGCCGTCTATGTGAACTGCCCAGGCCCAGAAACCAGACACAGACCACCCCCACCAGAGCTCCCAGAGGGAGGGCCCCATCGGGGCTTTTGGGTCCCCAGGCTCTGGCCAGAGGCCAAGGTGTGGAAGTCCCCACACCTGGGCTCATCCCCCTGCCGTAGCAGCTCCTTCCTTACTGGCGTCTGTGCGGGCTGAAGGGGAAACAGGTGGCTAAGCCAGCTGGACTCCACATCACCAGGCCCACTGCCAGAGGGAGCAGCCTGATCATTGTTAGGGTGTGCCAGTCACCGCTCCATCCCCTCTAGGGCCCTGCCAGGTAGGCATGGTTACCCCCACCTGCAAGACGGGCATGTGAAGCTTACAGGAGTGTGACATGGCCAAGGACATGCAGCCAAGAAAAGGCAGAGCTGGGGTGGCCTGGAGATGCAACAGGCTCGTCTTTGTCCCACTGCCTCCCTGAGGAGGGCCTGGCACCCAGGAGTTTCGAGGTGATAGGGCGCCCTTCACCTCTTTTGTGGGGAGCACCCGGGGCAGGAGCCCTCGGGGTGCGGAGCATGCATTCCCAGGCTGCCCTTTTCATGGTCGCAGCCAGACCAGACCCAGGGCTTCTGGGCTCTTCTAGCAGGTCCTGAAGGAGAGGGCAGGGAGGGGCTCCCGGATGTGCTGGTGACCTGCTCCTGACCGTAGCGCCGCCCACCCTGGGCTGCCTTCCCCTTCCTCATCTTGCAGTTGGGCTTCAGACTCCATGAGCTCTCTGGTGAGGTCTCCTGGGACCTTGGCCTGGCCTGGGCCGGGTGGCTGATGGAACGGCCTGAGGGGTGAGGCCTTCCCTTGGGGCTCCCCCAGGAGGGGAGTGTTGAGAGTCAAGCTCCTTGCTTTCCCTGCGCCCCAAGGAAGAGAGCTTGTTGTGGTGTTTTAAAACTAACTTGAATTATTTTATATCTTTGTTTTAAGTCTGCGCCTGGTTTTTGTCCCCCCACTTGAAAATACACGATACAGACATGACGCATACGTTGGAGTGTGGCATCCCTCCCTTGTGGCCCTCCATGAAGTGGCTGTGATTTTGGTGTTGTGGGCACGCTGGCCTTGGGTCTAGTCCAGGGGTCCGTGTCCCGCACTCCCGGCTCCTTTAGCCGGGGCGTCAGGGGGCCCTGGAGGCTTCCCACTCGCTCCTGCTGTGCTCTGCGCCCCCCTCCTTCCCTGGTCGCCCACCCCCTGCTCTGGCTTGGGTGCCCCTCGTTTGGGAATGAGCACCAGAAGCTGGGCACCTCCTGGGCTTGTGCGAAGGGCTCGAGTGGACTGAGCTGCAGCTGGCTGGGCCAGAGTGAGTGCAGGGGTGGGCAGAGATGGGTGCCCTCGAGGCCCTGCCTTGGGACAGACATGTCTCAGCCCTCTCCAGCACACCTGTGACCCGGAGAGTCAGAGGCCTCGGGGATGAGACGGAGAAATAGGCTGAGTGACAGGCACAGAGTTGCAGAGGCGACGACCGCATGGTCATCAGGTGTGCGTGGTGCTGTGGTGTGCCCAGCACTCAACCCTCAGCACTTTGGGGGACGGGCACCCCCAGTTTGTAGCTAAGGAATCTCAGCATCTCCAGGAGGCTCTCACTGTCCTGGCCGCACACCTGCTACCCGTAGCAGCACCCGGCTGTCCCTTGAGGGGGAGCTTCAGCCCCTGCTTGGGGCCCTGAGCCTGGGCCATCTCTGTTCATGGCTGACCCGGGGCCCTGTGCGGCTAGAGGTCTGAAGTGCTAGTGGCAGTAGCTGACTGCCGGGATGGCAGTGACCCCCCAGAACAGGGCCTGCAGCCGGGCAGCTGCGCCCTAGGCCCCGGGGAGTCTGCACCCTGCTTCCGGGCTCCTCTCCTCATGGCCACCCGGCCCAGCCCTTCCAGGGACCTGCTTTCCTGGGGAGCCACTTGTTGGGTGTGCTCGTGGGCCTGCTCACCTGCTGCCTGGGCGCTTGGGCCAAAATGAGTCCCTCCCTGGGCAGAACAGGCCTGTCCAGCCTTGGGAAAAAAGGTCGTTGGAAGAGAGGTGACCGTTTATTACTGCTTCTGCCTTGCTACCTGCTGTTCCGCGGCCCCCCCAGCAGGCTGGCCAGGTGAGAACTGATACTTCTGCCCTGTGGCCCACGGGCTGTGGGCTCTACTCCAGCACCCAAGGCCCCAGTCCACAGGGTTCAAGCCTGAGGGCCGCTGTGCTCCACTCCCGCCATCCTCAAGGCCACAGAAACGGTGCCCTCTATGCCCCTCATCCTGCCCCAGCCCTCCGAGGCGGCCACCTCCCCTCTGCTCCCATACAAAGCCCCGCCCAGCATCTAGAGCACCCCCTGGCCCTGGCCTCCACTTAAACCCGCCCGGGCTTCTTCCCCCGCAGGACCCAGGGGAACTTCCCTGCCACCTCCCAGTCCCCACAGGATGCTTGGCAGCTTCTTAGAAGAGGTGGGCATTTCTGCTCCCAGGGCACCTGGCATACATACACTGTTTCCTCCGCCTGGAACTACCTCCCGACTCTGCCCAGCCAAGGCAGACCCATCCTTCAGGGTTTAGCTAAGACATCTCCCCCGCCCGCCCTGGGCCTCTCCTCAGGTCCGAACTCACACTGTCGTCAGTCCGCCTGGCAGGGGCACAGGACATGCTGACTGCATGAGAGGGCATTTTGGAGAGCAAGGTCCCTGGCCTGGAGGGCTGTCTCCTGGGTGTTAGGGGACCTGTCTGGTGGCAGGCACAACCTCAGAGGGGCAGCCGAGCCCCCTGCTAGGCCAGCGCTTGTCCCTGCTCTCTGCTGGTGACTCCTCATACTGTGACTCTGTCCCTGTTAATCTCCCCCTCTGTGCCCCTCTCTGGCCTATGCCCTGGGCGTTAGTGGGCACTGGTCTCGGGGTGTCTGTTTCCTCCCCCAGGGCACAGGGTGCAGATGCAGCCTGGCCCACCTGGAGCCACCCAGATCGAGGGCTCCAGCCCCACAGGCTGAGCAGAGCCCTCAAGGTGAGCCAGGCCAACCCTCCTTGTAAAAGGGGGAAACGGAGGCTGTGAGGCCCCAGTGGGCACACTGTGCGGTCCCCACAGCAGACTGCCCCTGAGGGACCTGCGGAGGGCAGCCTGCAGCCGGAGGGAGGGCAGACCTCAGGCAGGCAGACTAACCAACCCCCGGTGAGGCCAGCGCCTGCCCTGCTCTCTGCTGGTGGCTCTGCAGACTGTGACTCTGTCCCTCTTAATCTCCCCCTCTGTGCCCCTCTGTGCCCCTCTCTGGGCTGGCACTCCTGTTCCAGCTCACGTGCCTCCCTGAGTCTCTCTCCTGACTGAGACACTGGCTGGGGAAAGCAGAGGAGAGCTGCTCCTGTCCTTGTGCATGGGGCACCTCAGTGTCCCTGTGTGCTCTGTGTCTGGGGCCCGGGGCATGTACCAGTGAGTGTCTGAGCACACGCAGAGGGTGCCCTTCCCCTGGGGCGCTGCCTCAGGGCGTGCAGGGGCCCAGGTCTCAGCTACCCAGGACTGCCCCGTTTCCTAGAGGAAGGGCCTCAGGCTCACAGGAAGGGACTCTCCAGGGTCACACCCTCTTTGCAGAGAACCGCGGTCACCCCAGTCCCTTGGGTGGTGCCCAGTCTCGGCTAGCAGCTGGGTTCTCCCTTCGAGCAACGGCGGAGCCTCCCTCGCTCCCGCCCTTCTCTGTGGTTGATGGAGTTTATGAAGTCTCCCCAGCCCCATAAATCATGCCGGGAACTGCTCTCTGCACTTCGCAGCAGGCAGCAGGCAGCTGAGCAGGGGAATTCCCTGCCCTCCTGCAGCAGGAAGCCCCAGAGGCTGCGCCTGGGGCTGCCCCAGGTCCTCACAGTGGGTCCGGCCTGAGGGGCAGGCTGGGCAGGCGCAGCGAGGCAGACTCCTGGGGCTCCTGGCCCAGTCCCGCACTTCCACCTGGAAGGCCTGAGACCCCTCCAAGCCTCTCACAGAGGGCCCAGGACTTCCCCTTTTCACAGGGGGCTGGCCACTGGGCCCCTGAGCCTGCCCGGTGCTGGGGGAGCTGAAGCAGGGGGGACCCATGTGTGAAGACCCCGGTATAGGTTATATTCCAGCCCCTAGCCCCGTAATGTGTCACTTGGGCATGTGATTGGCTCCATGCCCCTCAGTTGCCTGACCTATGAAATGGGTTTGCCGGAAGCTCCTTGAGCCTGCTCTAGGCTGTGGTGTCTGGCCCAGAGTAGTGCCTAGTCAGTAAGAGTGTGTGGGTTGCTGTTTGTCGTCAGGTTCACCAGGCACCTCCCTGTGCCAGGCCTGGCTCTGGGCACTGGGGAAACAGTGGGAGCGCACCCCAACCCCCTGGTCTCCGTCCTCTGAGCGCTCGGTCCCTGGGGGAGACGTGAGCTCTCGGGTGAGATCGGTGCCCTCCGCAGCCTGCGAGGGTCGAGTCCAGAAGGATCAGAATGAGGAGCAGCTGGTGGTCGGAGGCCACCTCTGCCTCAGTTGGCTCCCCTAGGACAGGGTGGCCCATCTGGGGACCCAGGGTGGGTGCTTCAAAGAGGCCCTGGGTTCCCCGGAGGTGGGTTCCCAGGAGCTGGCTCTGGGGATGGTGGACCTTGAGGGGAAGGAGAGTGAGCAGCATGAGAAATGAGGCTTTTAAAAACATTTTAGACAATATTTTTTTCTGATTTCAAAGGCTTGCGTGCTTGTAAAACTTCTTGAAAAGTATAAAGAAGTAAAAAAATCACCCATAACTGCACCACTCAGATAGAACCACTGTTAACATTTTGCTGTGTCTTCCAGGTTTTTTTTATGCATTTATATATGTTATATATCTTTAAACAAAAATAGTATCATGCTATATACATTATTTTATAAGCTTTTTCTCCCTACTCACACAGTACAGCATGACGCCTTTCCTCACCAGTGCATATAAGTCTGCCTTAATTTTTACTCAGGCTGCGTAGCATTCTCTGCTGTGGACGTGCATGTGTAGTTCATCAGTCCCCCACGGGTGGAGACTTAGGTTATTTCCATTTCTTGTAGCTGAGCCTCTGCCCACAACCCCACTCTCTCCTTGGGCTCATTCTTGGAGGTGAGGTTGCTGGCTCAGAGGGTCTGCATGTTTTTGAGCCTTTGCCTTCCAGAAGGCCGTGCAGGCTGCTCACCCTCCCCAGGGTGGCAGGGAGGGTGAGCTGGGGTGTCCCAGCTTCGGCCCGGGCTGTGCCCCACTCTAATTCTCTGCTCTTCTCATTCTCTCTAGGGTCCAGCCCATCAGAACCACTGTCTTCCAGTACCCTGTGGGCTGGCCGCCAGTCCAGGAGCTGCCTCCATCCTTGAGGGCACCCCCGCCTGGGGGGTGGCCCCTGCAGCCCAGTGTCCAATGGGGCTGAGCCCCTTGTCCCCAGCTGACCCCCACCTGGTCGGCTCTTTGCGTTAGTCACAGTAACAGTAAGGGCTCACCCTGGGGATGTCTGTGGTACCCCATAGAGCCTCTGAAGCCATCAGCTCACAGAAGCCCAGGAGTCCTCCCCCAGCCCTGGGCCTGGCTCTGTGCCGGGCAGCTCCAGCCTCCCTTTCCTCCACACTCTCTCCCTCACCGGGCAGCTTGACAAGAGGGTGAGAAAACTTCCTTCCGGTTGTTTATAAAGAAAGTCTGTCACCACAGTGGTGTGGCTGTACTTCCCCCGTGCCCAGCACCCTCGGCTCTGAGCTCTGCCCCTGGTCCGAGGACAGGCAGGGCTGGTGTGAGATGAGGCCCCGGCAGGGTGAATGGTGTTTGCTGCCCGTCTCCCGGGGGATTTAGAAGCCTGGCCGGCAGACGGTACACCAGCATGGCTGTGACCGCCACCCCAGCCAGAAGTGGCTCCAGATGTGGCGAGAGGAGCCTGACGCGGTCTGCCGTCCCAGCTCCCGCACCTGCCGTGCTGAGCTGGTGCCTGAACGCGAGAGGGCACAGCTGGGGCAGGGGTCGGGGCTGGGTCCGCAGCCTGAACAGTGTAGGGAAGTAGGCGTGCCAAGAAGGATGGGCCTTGCACTTGGGAGGTGGCCTGGCTGCACTTCCTGGCACACACAGCTCTGGGCTGGGCCAGCCCCTCAGCCCAGGGTGGCACGGAGAACCCCTCAAGGCTTCTGCCCTCAAGGAGGCCCCTGGCAGCGGGGAGACCCCACAGGCAGTGCAGGCCCCAGCTCTGCTTCCTTCCTCAGCTACACTCCAGTTCTAGATCCTGTGCTGGGGTGGCGGTGGGCAGGGTGGCCCTTGGGCCATGGGCCTCTGGTGGCGGGGCCCAGCGGGTGCGGTACTGCAGGACCACCTCAGATGCACCCTCCCGCATGAACTTCTGCCCTCACCAAGAATCCCTGTTGAAGGGGTTGCTGAGGCCAAATCTGGGGGCCTTCTGAGTCTCAAGCTCCTCATCTGTGAAATGGGCAAATTCTCTGCCCCCAGTGGGTACATGGAGGAGAGCTGGGTTTGAGTCTAAGGACGTTTAGAGAAAGGGACCCTGCAGAAAGCCAGGGTTGCCCTCAGGTCATACCAGGCATAGGGCCCAGGAGATCCCAGCCTCACCCACCCAGGAGGAGGTCTTCTGCCCCCAGGTCCCACATTCAGTCATGGCCTGGGAAACCTCAGGGACCATGCTCGGGCTGGCCGTGTGGCCTTGAGCACAGGTTGCCCCTCCTGCCTTAGAGACCACAGCAGCTACTGGGTCCGGTGCAAATCCATCCCCAGTTTCCCAGGGCCTCTGAGCAGCAGGAAGAGTTAGTGCTACATACAGGCGAGTGGGGCGCGGGCAGGGTGCGGGCAGGGTGCGGGCAGGGCCACCATCAGCCCCTCCACAGCCAGGCCACGGCTCCGTGCTAGTCCTAGGGGGCAGTTGTGGTGCAGTTGCTGGGTGTCCAGACCCTGAAGTACACGCAGTGGTGGCCCGGGGAGGCAGCCAAGGGAGAGGACTGCAGGCGGTGGTGGGTATGGAGTGGGCCCTGTGCACCCGCGTGCACCAGGCGGCACCTATTTCATGCCGCTGCGCAGCACCTGGTTGGCTGCGATGAGCATGACGCTAATGATGAAGGCGATGGCGAAGGCGCAGATCAGACTCTTGCGCACACATGTCTGGCGAATCTGCTGGTTGGAACAAGCTGTGGCCGCCCGCCAGGGAGCACCAGAGAGAGACAGAAGGGGACAGCAAAGCATCGGAATCAGGAGCCACCTGCATTTCCGCACGTGGACTTGTCCCGAGGGGTGCACAAGCTTGGGGCAGGCAAGGAAGCCCCCAGCCCCCTCTGCAAGCCCCTGCCTCCTCCCCCTCAAGCAGTTGGCCCCGCCTGAGGGATCCCAGGTGCGACTCACTCTCCACGTCCACGGGGCACTCCTCGGCCGTGCCCAGGTGGCTCTCCTCTTCTGTCATGATGATGTTTTCAATGTCCTTCATGGACAGGTGTTCGCAGAAGGTGTCGTAGAGCAGCCGTTTCAGCTCGTCCACAGTCAGCTTCTGCATGTCACACTTGAGTGGTGGGGGAGACACAATGCTCTGGCCACCACCACTGCCACCATCCCCACCCAGTACCCTGCAGCCACACAAGCCCAGTGACAGGGTTCCAGATTCTGTAGGGCTGGAAACCACTCATTCCTTTCCTCGAGTCAGCCAACACCAGCCTCCCCTACAGAGCCCACTGCCCTCTGGGAGGCAAGATGTCCAGCAGACAGAAGCCTAGAATGGGCATCCCCCTTTACAGAGTAGGCCCGGCCATTCACTGGCATCATACAGCCCTTCACAGTGTGCACAGCCCTAGGTCCCAGACCAGCCCGGGCATACCTTCCAGAAGACGGTGTCAAAGTCAGTGCCGTGGAACTTCTCTGGAATTCCTGAAGTGGAAAGCTTGGGTCCCAGGAGGGTCACAAACTCCTCAAAGTCCACTTGGCCATCACCTGGAGCAGGCACAGGTCTAATCAGCGAATCAGCCTGCAGCTGGGCTGGGTCCTGGGCCACTGTGGGCCTCAGGCACTCCCCTCCTTCTCTGAACCTTGAGTCACCAGAGTGTGCCAGCCTCTTGGCTGATGCGGAAGCCACCAGGTGCGGCAGTGGGGGTAGGGTGCAGCAGGTGGCCCCCAAGCATGTGGAGGACCATCCCATTTCAGAAGCCCCCAGGCTTCCCAGCACCCATGGGTGGGTGGGGGGCCAGACATTCTCCCCGCCACAAGGACAGGAAACGGAGCTCAAGAGTGGGGCCAAGCTGCCCAGGCTGCCACCAGCTCTCTGGGCGAGAGGAGGCTGGGGAGGAGGCCAGTAGGACGAGAGGATGGCACTGGACATTACTGGGCCTTGTGGGGTTTTCCTTAATAAAATGCCAGGTGGCGAATACAGCTCAACCAATGATTTTTTTATTTTGGGTGATGGGACCCGGGGTATTCAGTATATATCCTTTCTAATTGTACTTTAAAATTTTCTCAATATACAGAGCAAGAGGGGAAGAGTCCATGACTTCTGGGTGTGGCTGGGGTTGTCATACTCTCCGGCCTCAATTCTCTAGGCTGAGAAATGGGGCCAGACATGGCTGCAAACTGCCATGGACTGGGGGTGGCTGGGGGTGAGAGGCCCAGGACAGGCTCCTTTTCAGGGGCTCAGGCCCCAGCCCGAGCCCCCCAAGGGAAGGGGTGACAAGGCGATGGGGTGGCGCTCACCGTCCATGTCCAGCCGCTGGATGATAACCTCCAGCTCCACCTCGTTGGGCATGTAGCCCAAGGAGCGCATGGCCGTGCCCAGCTCCTGCTTGGAGATGAAGCCATTGCCGTCACGGTCGAAGACTTTGAAGGCCTCACGGATCTCTGTGCAGGGAGCAGAAGAGGTTGGGACCTCACCCCTGTTCCCAACACCCACCTTCCTGAACTTCCAGGATCCCTGAACCTGCAGCCTGAGCACAGCATTGAGAGTCCCCTCGGGGGCCTACAGCTCTGGTCAGAGACATTGGCAGGTTCCCAGAGCCCAGGGCCACTGACTGGGTAGCAAAGCGAGGCCGAGGCAGCAATGAGACCGTCTTCAGGGTCTTGGTCTCGGCGTGCTACCTCCCGGAGCCTCTCAACGACCGTGTGTGGTGGGCACCGTGAGTGCAGGGGGGAGACCGGCTCCCCAGGGCCATGGTCACCTCTGCGAGCTGCCAAAGACTTTCCTGCCCACACCCCACTCCTTCCCACCCCCCCATGCCATCACACATTCCCCCCAAGAGCTCAGCCCGGTAGCACCGGCCAACACTCACTGATGGTGGCCGCATGCGGCAGCTGCAGCTCCAGGCCAGTGGGCAGATAGACCTGCACAGACTGCCTCCCAGAGCCCATGGTTTGGAGGAAGACAGAGGCTGGATGGAGGGGTGCTAGCAAGCCCAGCCAGCTCAGGTATGGGGGTCCCCCCAGTGGATCAGAGAGGAAGACGGAGGCCTGAGGACCTGGGTGAGTTGGACAGGGAGCAATGCCCTGGGCTGGAAGCCAGGGAATGAGCAGTCCAGTGAGTGACCTTGGGCCAGCCTCGGCTTTATCCCCTGTAACGCGGGCAGTAATGATATGGGGACTCAAGGGTTTTAACCACGATGTCCAGGAACTGCTAAGGGGTCCTATTCTCTCCCTGCTCACCTTTGCTCTACCTGTTTCTCTGCCTGCTGTCCCTTCATTGTTACTCAGGCCAAGACGAAATCCCAAGAACATTTCCTTTGGTGAGGAGGGAACCTCCATCCACTCATACCCTCTGCTCCAGCCACTGGGGGTCTCCTTTTCCAGTTTACCTGCCAGCCTCCTGGTCTTTCCCAAAGCTATTCCCCTGGGTGGGACTCTAGCAGTGAGAGAGAATCCTACCTCTGTGTGTGCATGTGTATTTGGAAGAGAGGAGAGATGCTCTGTGCTGCAGTCCTAGAAACTGAGGCAGAGAGGCGAGATAGCCAGCCTGGATCAGTGCAGGGTCCAGGCTCTTTCTGGTTGGGACCTGGCCTTAGGGGTCTCTGTATCTCTGAAACTGATTGTGGGATCCTGCACCATGGGGTCACTCCCTGATCCCACTGGTGCCAACACAGACAGGGGCTGTGGCCCAGAGAGGGTGGCTGGGTATCCCAGGCCACACAGCAAGGTGGCTTGGGCTGAGGCCCCAACCTGCATCAGGCTCTTCCTACCTGGTGTCTTTACCCAAGGCCTGGAGGTGAGACCAGTTGACATGCAGGCCAAGATAGAAACAGTGGGCCATAGCTGAGCTGCCTGTACCCCTAGACCCCTGACACTGGGCTACTCCCAACCCTCCTGGGTAGGGCCTTAGCAGATGGTCTCCTACGCAGTGGCCCCATGGTCAGGAGAGCAGTAGGATGGGAGACCTGGGCCAAGCCCAGAGGTTTCTGTAAACACTGGAATCTGGAAACTCCAAGCCAACTCCCATGTAAAGTTTTCCTCGGCTGCTGATAAAGTGATGAGCTCCCCATCACCAGAAGAATGTAAGCAGAAGCCCAGGGGTCACAGAGGCTGCTGAGAGAGTTCAGTTGCTTGGGAATCTCTGGGTTGAGATGAAGGCACAGGGTCATGCAAGCAGGCACATCCTCTGCCCTCTCCCTGCACCACACACACACTTAGGTCTCTGGGCAGCACTGTTGCCCTCCTGACCCATCTGAAGGCTCTGTCCACCTCAGATGGCCCAAATTCCAGCCCTAGGAGCCCTTTCAGTCCTGATGGGCAGCAGCCAGGCCTGTGAACATGCACATTTGTCTGGAATGCTCTTCCGCTCACCATGGCGAGCTCGAATGCATCCCAGCAGGGACAGCACTGCCTGCCAGCATGGACCGCACCGCCTCCCTGAGGTCCACCCTGCCCACTAGCTGCCCGTGGCCTTCCTCGGGCTCCCACAGCTCTTGCCCCATCCTTGCACTGACCGCACGGGCCTGTGAACTAGGAGTTCCGCGAGAGCAGAGACCAGGTCGGTCCTGCTCGGGGCTAGGTCCCTTTACTTAGAACAACGCCTGTCTTTCAAGCATAACCATTTGCTGAATAAATGATGAAATGAATGAATGACTGATTTGGGGACCTACCGACCTGGAACATACAGAGAAAGGAGCTCAGCAAAAGTTCATAGACACTTGATGTGAGGCCATCGTTCAGCCCATTTACCCTGTTTGTTTGTTTTTCCTCAAAGCTTTTTTTTAACTGAAGTGTAGTTGATATACAATCTTATATTGGTTTTCAAACAATCTTGTATTGCTCAACAGTGGTTCAACAATTACCCATATTATTAAATCCTTGCCCCCTCTAGTGCGGTTACTATCTATCAACATAGAAAAATGTTACAGAATCATTGGCTATATTCTCCATGCTGCACTGCTATCCCCATGACCAAGTTACATTATGATTGAGAATTTTTGTTCCCTTTTATCTCCCTTGCCTTCCCCCCAACCCACCCCAAGCCCTCCCACTTAGTAACCACTAGTCATTTCTCAGTGTGTATGAGTCTACTGCTGTTTTGATCATTCTGTTTTTCTTTGTTTTTAGATTCCACAAATAAGAAAAATCATAGAGCCATTTACTCTTGGTTTACAAACAACCCAAGTAAGGGTAAGCATTTGCTTTACACCCCCCAAGCAGGCAAGAAGCATGAAAAGAAGCTGAGGACACCACTTGTCCACTTGCCCAGCCCCCAAGGACCCCACTCCCACCCACCCTTTTGGTAAGCACAGAAGAGGGGAATCAAGGGCAGGGTTGAGGGGACCATCCTCAGACCTTTGGGTCAGGGACTGGTTTGGAAGGAAGGACCCAGGCTCAGGCACCCCATCTTTCTGGGTCCTTAGTTTCTGCCTCTGTAGAGGCCCATTTGGGAAGTCTCACGGTTGGACGGCAAAACCCTGAACACACAGTAGGGCAGCAGTGGGCACTGGCCCCACCCTCCCCTACAATGAGCTGGGGTCCAAACTGTTTCCCCACCCTGGCAGGCCTGGGTATGGCTTTCACAGCCCAGGGCTGCTTCCATTGGAGCCCCTGACCCCCTTCTGGAAGCCCCAAGGAGACACTGGGCCACACCGGACAAGTGGAGGGCAGGGTATGTGTCAGGCAACGAACACAGAGGCAGCCCATGGGCCCCATGGCCATTTGTCAGGCGGAACTAACCTCCCAAGACCACTAGATAAACCCGAAGACTGCCACCTCCAGGCCCGCATGTCCCTTCAGCCACCCCTTCCTGCACACCCAGCTCACACCCCGGTCTTGCTTCTGTGCCTTTGCGCGTGTTGGGAGCCCTGCCGCAGGGGCGGCGACTCCTGAGGCCAAGTTCAAGGATCACCTGCTCAGCCAGAGAAGTCACACAGGCCCAGGTTCAAATCTCAGCTCCCCCACATCCTGGCTGGGTGACCTGGTGTTTGCTCACCTGTTCAAGAGGGCTGTGGGGGTGACTAAGTAGGAAAATCAAGTGTGTAAGTACTTACTGAGCTGGGCCTGGCTCAGAGCGTGATGCTGTAAACCTGAGGGCCCCAGACGGCAGAGTGGGAGGGAGAAGGGAGAAGGGACCGAGCATGCCCAGGAAACCAGGCTGGCTTCCTGTTGGCTGGTGCCGGGAAGGGGACCGGGGCGCAGAGTCGGGCTCTGCTACTCAGCAGCTGAGTGACCTGGGCAAGGCCTTCCCTCTCTGAGCCCTGAGAGCCTCAGCTGTGAGATGAGAATGTGACGCCCTCAGCAGGGCTCCCTGAGAGGGGTGGGCGTCACGACTTCCCTGTCACTGCTGCTACCATCGGCACATCCCAGCTGGGCGACAGCCTGGCTCCAAAAGCCTTGCTCCATCCCTGCCCCATGGCCCTCCTTGGGCAGCCTGCTGTGCCGTGCCTTGTCTTGCCTTGTCTTGGCATGGGACGCCTGGCCTAGGAAAGGGCTGGCAGGGCACTGGGTTTCCAGGCCGACACTCTCCTACCTGCGGCATCCCACCTGACACCCCAGTCCCCTCCCAGCCCATGCAGCTGTGTCAGGACCTGAGTCCCCTGCAGGCACCAGGGGCCTCCAGCGCTCTGTCAGGAGGTTGGAGTCCAGAGAGGGGGCGCAGAGGCTGGAGTCCACTCAGGTGGTGGGGACCGTCTGTCCTCTGCAGCGCAGCTGCCATCCGTGGCATTGGCCCTGCGCCCCACCACTTTGGCCTGCCTGAGTTCCTGGCCTGCTTGAGGTGGCTGCTGGGCTTGCAGGGAAGAGGGGCAGGACAGGGGGCTCCCCTGCCCCCATCTCACCACTCTCAAAGCAAGTTCCACTGTCCGACTGAGCAGGCCAAGCACCGACCCCAGAAGCCTGCCATGGTCACTGTCTGCCTGCCTGTCTGTCTCCTCCCTCCGCTCTCCAGCCAGAGATGCTCCCCGTCCCCATGGCAAGGCCAGGCTCAGTGCTGCTGCGGGCCGGGGGTCCTGGCTGTGTGTGTCTGTTGGGTAGGGGCACAGGGAGAAACTGGAAAAGCCTGGGCCTCCCCCTCATGGAGGCCAGGCAGGCTCCAGGCCAGCTCTGCCCAGCCATGGCTACCCTGCCAACTGACATCCAGGGCTCCCCACGGCCACAGGTCCCCAGGGGCCTTTGCCACACATCCAGTGGCCTCTTCCACACAGCCCCTCCCCTCCCTGACTTTCTGGCTGGGCCCCTGCACACCTCACGTCCCTGCCTCAGGAGCCTTCACCGATGCCTCCGCTCTCCGGGCTTCTACCCCCGCTTGGCCCAGCTGCCTCCCAGCAAAGGCTGCTGCATCCGTCCCAGGCCCCCACTGCAGGCCAGGCCCAGGCTGAGCCCTTCCACTGCATCTCTGTCACCAGCAGCCTTGGGGAAGAGCAATGCCAACCTCCTTGTACAGATGGAGAAAGCAAGGCAAGAGGGACAAGTGGTTGCCCAAGGTCACTCCATGAGTTGAGAGTGCACAAACTCGAACCCAGTGCTATGTGGCTGGGAAACCCTGCACTCTCCACCTCCCCTCCTGGTCCTCCTCCCCCCGGGACTAACCGCCCCCTGGATTTCTGCGGCACGTACTGTCGGCAGCATTTCATCCCAAGCTGCCAGGCTCCCTCTTCTTGGCACATGTGGCTCCCCACCAGTGGGTGGGTGTCCTCCCAGCAAAGGGCCTGGGTCTTACCCAGACTGCTCAGGGGCAGGAATACTAATGTAGGGCACTGGGGAGGGGGACAAAGGAGCAAAGCAGGGGATCTGTGCCAGGCATGGTCACCCTTTCGCCCAGCCCTGGGATTCAAGGACTAGTGGGGCCTGCAGGAGTTGGTCTCCCAGGAGGAGGGCTTTCAGGGTGCGCACAGCCAGGAAGCGGGTCAGTCATGGAGGCTTCTTGCCCTCATCCGTAGTTGCTTGTG